ACTTGTTATAGCAATGGTATCGCGTAATTTGTAGTGCTAATGGTTGTGACGTCACACGGTGATAGGGTTGCACCGCAGTCCACCGGGAGCTATTCTATTCAGAATGGAATTCAATGGAATGTAATGTCGCAACTAACCATCCCAACCACAAATTATTTTACGACTGTTATTGGAGGGATCCGATAAATTATATATCTGATTTTGTTGTTACCGATAATATTTAATTTTTATTACGTTATTTACTATAGGTAATTTTTCTAATACCCCAAATATCATATTACTTAAGATGAACGTACAAAGAGAAAAGCAACATTAACAAAAAGTATAAGCATATGATTTCAAAAATATCTTACAATAACATTAATATGTTAAATTATTAAGTTATACTTACACCAGACAAAAGTTAGGTTTGTCTGGTGTAAGTATTATGGAGTAAGTATTATCACCAGAATCACTTAATTCTTTAAAATAATTTATTAATTAATTAACTATTTTGATTTTTTCGCCCTAAGTTTTTGTTGCTATACTATAGTGTAATAAAAAAAAGTACCTAAAAGACCGATAAATTAAAAAGCTTTTATGACCATCACTCCATTTGATCTACAAAATCACGAGAGTAAAATTAAAGCACCAGATATTTTCTCCTTCCTTATATTTCCCGTCAATTAACCCCACGTCAGCGCCCCAAAGCTCGAGTGGTCTCCGCTCCCCAATTCGCAACTTTTGTCGGCGCAAGTGCCATTGTGAGTGTTTGACAACCCTACTGTTTTGTTTCAACCTTATGTCAATGTTGGGTGAAGTGAACTTGGTGATTGGCGTGAAATACAATTTTTATTTAAGTGTCCTTGTATCTTTAATTATGAAGTATGAATTAATAATGAGTGAATAGCCTTTGTGCAGTGAAGTGAAAATTTTATCTAAGTATCTACTCGCATACTTGTAGTGTTTAATTTGTTTTATTAGAAGTTTACTTGATAATATCGTGTTGGGTTAAAATGAATGAGAGATTTCTCTATACTATTTTATGCTTTATCGTAAATCAAATATATATATATATATATATATATATATATATATATATATATATATATGTAAAAATAGTTATAATTATGCCAATACATTATAAGAGACATTGCACAGGAGAGTCACTGAATCTAATATTATTGTAGCTATCTCAACAAAATGACTGGTTTAGAATTTTTTCAATGGTTATAAGTTTACATTATTGTAACACTATTCAATATTTATGTTATCGTGAAATTGCGTTTAGAGTTTTATGCATAAGAACATATTAGCCCATTGTACCCTATTATACAAAAAAAAAAAAATTCCTTTTATTTTTGGAGATCTAATTGTGAAGGAATGTCTGTTGTTACCACCATATGTACGAGATATTTATGCGCTCTTCATTCACGGGTGGTGTTTTAACTACATACCTACTTATCTGGGAATGTATTAGTATGTTATTTCTTACAATACTTAGCATGTGCTTATTAAAAAGATACCTACAGGAATAACTTTTGAAATCTTCTTTAATTCGACTTATAATCGTCAAGGAACACAAGGGATGTACATAATATAATATTTTGGAATGTAACTCCCAAAAGACCGTATCGTCGGGCGGCTGTAATCCAATATGTCGGCCGGTCGTTCTGAGGCTTCCTTTTTATATTTTTCGGACGAATTATCACCGACACTCAGTGGACGGAGCATGCGAATCAAATTGAAAGGCGACTCAATTATATTACAAGCGCTGTTTAGGGCTGCTCGATGAACGACCGTTTTATAAAAAAATAGGAAAGAAAAATTTTACTAGATTTTATTAGAGATTCGTCAATGTCTTTCTAGCAAAACTATTCATTAATCATTTATGTCAATCTAAAAATTACGTCATTGATCCCAAAAAGACATTAATTGAGAAGAATTGGCGAGAATCTGTGTATTAATTCCCTTTGATCATTTCGTACATAGTAATACCATCTAAAAGTTAATAAATAAACGATTTCATGAACAACACTACTTTGCAATAATTACATGAATTTAATTTGACTTACAAGTGAAGTGTACATTAAGATAAAATGGCTTGGAGTTTGAAGTATCTTTTCAATATTACATTTAAAATATTATTTATATCTAATATTATTTAATATACCTACTTTGTCACATAACAAGTAGGGAAGAATTTAAGGACTATACAGTGAGAAATTAAGTTAAATATATCACTTATTAACTAATGATGGATCTGAAATTAATTAAAACGTGGTAAGTTTAATACTAACGAACGCTTGGCATCCCTTAATCCCGACAGCACGTGCCGTAAGGTGCGAGGGGGAGGGGGATAACTGCCTCTCACCGTAATACCATTCCGAGATGAACGACTTAAACGCGTTACCGATAACCACTGTAGCATAACACCATGAGCTCTGTAGTGTTCTGATAACTAATACCACAAATGGAGTATCTCTAGCATTCGTAGAGACCAAGACGAAATGGACGGTGATATCTCGATTCAATGTTTTGGCGGTTTAGCCAACGAAATGGAGTGGATTTTGACAATGCTTGTTAACTAATGGAAGCCGGAGCTCGATCGACGACCGACAAATTTGATATTTGTCTTAACGTCCGTTATGTTGAACGAGGTTAAGTGACGGCACCTTGTGTGTCTGTAGAACGTTTTTGCTCGATTGCTTTCTGAACCAGTTCAATACGTATGTAATTTCTTTAGGAGGACGAGATATTATGATAGGTATCCTTCATATCCGATGTTTATTGTAAATTGTAAATTAACATTGATGATTGATAAATAAGTTCAAGTGTTTTTTTAATTGACATATCTATTAAAAACGACCTGGAATCGTTCGCCATTTTTATTATTCATTAACAATCTGAATATGGTTTTAAGGCAAAATAATAACTCGTAACTTGTTATTTTTAAGTCTACGGGGTGAATAAATATATCAAGGTATTCTAATCCAGAATGAGAAAGTAATTTACATTTTTTATAATATTCTAGATATACCTTCAACTTAGAAGAATTAATTGTTTATAGGTAATGTAACTCATACAGAATGACAAAATGACTTTTGCCCTTTTTATATGTTGATTTTGGTACTCAACTACTCATGTAATTCAATAAACCATTCACGACATTAACAATGATACGAACTTCATATCGACATAAAAGCAATTCGCTTGCACGACATACAGCCTCTAAATTGCGACAGTGGCGCACTCTGGTGATGGTGCCACACTCGCGCTACGGAATTGCGCAATTTTTATTTGGGCATAAATAAAACACGGGCGGTTGCGCGAAGCAATTTGCCTAAAACCGGGCGGCGATGACTCCGGGCCGTGCGCGGGCCGTATATCCGGTTATCCGTGTACGTGAACAGCCGCAACACTGAATACTAATGTTATTTATAGCGGCACTCCTTTATGTCGGGATGTACTTCGAATTTATCGTGTAATCCCAAATTTGAGACGTGAACTAACTTTAATATGCACAAACAGATCAAACTTAATGAAATGGAACACTTAAATAAGCTATCACTCAATTATTAACTACTTCCAGCCTATTAATCGCTGTTGGGGCACAGGCCTTCCCTACTATGGATAAAATCGAATAGGGAGAACCCACCACGCGGCCTCAGTGCGGACTGGTGGGTGTTAACTACTCAAGATGCAGTGAGGACTAAAATCTTAATGTGCTTTTGAAAGTACGAAGGAACTTGAGATAATAAATGTTTGATTGCCCATCCTATAACTGACCGCACACTCTTACCACAGCGTCATCGAACGCCCAATTTACTACTTAACTACCAAGGAGTAAGACAAAAATTATTCTTACAAAATAATACGATTATAGTTAAATTAATACATTTATAATTAGCTCTAGATTTAGCAAAGAAGAACGCTGATTGGTTGAAACAATTAACCAATCGATATTTGAACCAATAGAATGAATGAGGTCATTAGTGGGCAGATTATATATAATCTTAAAATCAGGTTTGTTATTTTTCTAAAACGAGCTGTACGGAGCTATTCAAAAGCTATATTAATTACTGTTTTTTTTTAATAATATATGATCTTGTATTACAATAAATTTTTCATGTGATTATAAAAAAAAAACGTTGAAAATGCACCATAATAAAACGTGAGTTAGTAAATTAATATACCAAAATCTAAGTAAATTTAAACAGCAGTTTAGTTGGCTGTTGCTGGTAAAATTTAACAAGATGAATTTGTGCACTTGCATATTATTTATTAAAAGTTATATAACTTAATAACAGTTACGTTAACGATGTTTAATCAGAATGTAAAATATAAACTAAATTTAAGTGTTGTCATTCTGGCTTGTTTGTTTTATTGTTGAAACATTTAATACAAGATGAAAGAAAAGAGAAAAACTACATCTTTTACAATTTTTATAATCGTATTATAATTGAGACATATCAAATTTAAATACTTATTGAACATTCTATTCTATGAAGTATTAATTCTTTGACTAATTTACTTATTATACTAGCTACTTTACTTACGCTTACAATATAGACTTTAATCCTCTCCCCATCCCTCTCTCCCACCCTCCTCCCAGCAAAACATCGTAAACCACATTTTTATGGCACAAACGTCAAATGTTCGCGACAACATTAAAGTTTCACGAAACAGACTGACTTTTATTACGAAATTGTGATATAATGAGCCATAATTTCTGGTAATATGAGATTTTTCCGACAGGGTTACTTTATAAGTATGCTTACAAATTATTTTAGCTTCTTTTTGTGTAAATATTTTATGTTTTTTATTTCCTCAAGCGTAGATTAAAATTAGAACGCGAGGGGATGTGTTTACTTCGGACTGTACGTATATATATTAATTGCAAATATAAGTAAAAGTAACGTATATCAATAAAAAAAAACTCGGTCAAATATGACTGATAAGTCCCTCAATAAGCTTAAGATGTGTTTCTTTTAGGGTTTCCTTTAATTGATGGTACTTACTTGCACTCTGGCTTCAGTCAGATTGATCTTCAATGCTAAATCCTCACGCGTGAACACATCCGGATAGTGCGTCTGCGCAAACGCCGTCTCCAACTCTTCCAACTATTGGAACAGAAAAATATCTATTACAAACGATATCAGTTAATTTTTCAATCATTCAATCTGCTGTCAATCAGCCCTCAAGAAATAAGATTCCTAAAAGCTACAATTATTTCGTCTTCTTGAAAGTCAATTATCTTAATACATATATGTACCTATATATTATTTTTTATTGGCCGAAGTGTAAACACTAAGTTTGTCATGGTATATACTGTATAACTTAAAAAAAAAACGGAAGTAATCATTCTTAATTTAATAAACAAATGAGTTTAGTCCTTTATTTGGTGTACGTACGGGTAGAACTTACTTGTTGTAATGTAAACGTGGTACGATTCCGTCTCTGCTTGCGACGAACAAATGTGTCATCGTGTATCGCCGGGTGATACGAATAACTCGTATCTGTGAACAAAAATAATACTTTGAAATAAGCAGCAACTTGTCGAAGTCCATTTCAATAACAATGAAATTACATGATATTTAGCAACTTCCGCTACCAACAAAATGTATTCAAGCATGTGTCCCTCTGGTACGGGCTATCTGAAAGATGTCCTACAGGTACTGACTATAGTTGCTAGATATCTATTAGAAATTCAACATGTACATTTTCAGCTTGTTATGAAACAAGATATAAAAATAACTAAAAGATGATAAATCAAATTAAATAATTTATTTACATTAAACAAAAAAAATAAAAAATAAGGGACGAGGTGATTAGTGAGGTGAAAAGTGTAGAAGTGTGAGTGAGAGTGTCAGTGTAGGTGAAGGGGCGTGGGTCAGCGGTGAAGTACCGTTGATGAAGTACTTCAGCAGTCTTGAGGGGCGTCTGGATCCCGAGCGTAAATTTAGCGAGGCGTAGTCTCTCGATGCGTCGAACAGGAGATTCTTCGGCAGCCAAGAACTGAGAGCGTAAAGCGGTGAGGAGTAGTCTCGATGCGTCGTACTGGAGATTCTTCGGCAGCCAAGAACCGAAAGCGTAAATCGGCGAAGCGTAGTCTCGATGCGTCGAACAGGGGATTCTTCGGTAGCCCAGAACTGAGCAGCAGCTCGGGCCTAAGGTGTATACTCGCAGACAGCCTCCAGGAGTGAAGTAGCGAAGGAGATTATAGTGGAGTATTGATTTGTTGTCGTCAAGTTAAAGCCAGAAAGATGTCATGCGACTTTGAGACCGTAACTTTGAAGAGTTCCCGGGGCAGTCGGCCCCGGGAAATAGGCCTTTTAAGAATTTAGCTAGCTCTGTACGAGCTCCAAAAAGCTAACTTGGCAACTGTTGCCGTTGAAGTGATCAAGAACTATTTGAGCGAGGCTATTTATACCTGAAGACGAACTTAAATTTAGAAGTAAATGATTTCAAATTAGAACCCTAAAAATTCAAAAACTACAGAGTTTCAATGCCTAAAACTGACAAACAATGAGTCAATTTTCATGAAGAGTATCAAATATAACCATAGCAACGAAGAAAAACTTTGATGTCAATTATGTCAAAACAATTAAAATTAGCGATAATTTGTGTTATAATATATAAATAAGTGTTTTAATATGATTAGAATTGGTAAAATGTATAAAGAAAAACTATGAAAAGTACAGGTAAGGGTTCACATTAGTATAAGTAGACAAAAACATAGGATGAAAGTTCGTAAAGGTTTGGATAAGTTTATATTACAGAATTTTAATGGTTACAGATATAAAATTGAAGGACCACAGTTATAGAATGGAGAAAGTAAAGAATATAAATGGAAAACACTAAAAAGTTTATCGATATGAGCAAAATGAGTGATATAAATCTAAGGAATTAAAACGATACTAAAGGTTAGTTACGACAAGCTTACTTTTAATTCAGTTATGACCAGACCAAAATTGCACTGATTAAACTTCCTCAAGAAATTTTCTGCTGCATCGATAACTCCATAGAACTCTATTATTTAGTTTAGGGGGAATTAATAGGGTAATAAGTACATAATATGTACAGTATTGTACAATGACGAGGAGCATTCATTAATTAATAAAATAATTATTATCTTACGAAGAAAACCATTGAAAATAGACGAGAGAATATGTTGCGACAAACGAAACGATGACTTTTTAAACCATTTTGAGAATCAGAAGGAAAGAAACAAAAGGAGACACAAAAGAAAAGTTATTCAGGGCTATTTATAAAACACCAACAACCATGCAGGAATAGATAGCTAACATTACAAATAACTTTTGATAATTCACTACATTTTGCTGTCATACAAAAATAAATTATGATTAATTTAACTTTCGAATGTTAATAACTTCACGTGCATCGGGCCAAGATAACGTTAGAGCACATCGTTGTCTTTTAATTTATGAACTTAACAATTTAAGTTTCACAACAGTCACTCGTCAGTCGTTTCCTTCGTTACTGAGAATAGTGACTCCCCCAGACTCCGTCAACTAGCTTCCATCGACTCTGCCCCGCTGTCTGATTTATTGCAGCACTAACAGGCATCACCATTTCTGGGATACTTGATCTGTTCACTACTTGGGACTTCGACCTCTAGGTTTTCCTTCAATAACCTTGTCACGACTGTACAATAAAATCTCGAAAAATTATCTTTATCCAAAATGTTAAAATGTAATTTTACTCATAGATCAAATTTTGTTGTTTACGAATTGGGCTATCTAGTCATATGAAGTAACTGATATTTTATTATTAACCCTGTATTTAAATTATTAATCGGCGACAATAATATTGGAGAGACTTAATGACTTTACAAAAAACCAGCGGAATTCGGAACAATTGGAAATAAAAGCCGTTAATCTATGGCTGCCATAGAGCAGAATGGCGGAAGGTCGGTCGGCCCATTGCGCGCCAAACGCCACCCCATGGTTATTATTGCCATCGGAACGGCTATGGGAATTGATGAGGTGGATCTTCTTGTTAGTTATGGTAACAGTCATTTGGAAGGGATAATTATATTATTTTATTTTTGTTAAATAATTTAATACAATAAAGTATTATCTGCCTTAGTACGTTAACAAAATCAGTCCTTTTAATACTGACTACGATGCTACGAACACCGTAGTACGCCGTAGCATTTATTTTGTTAGTTCACTTATTTTCAGTTATGTATAAATTTTACAGCCACATCATAGCTAACTAAGGGTATTATTTGTGTCTTACACAATAAAAGCGACAAATAATAAACTTGTGAATATCACTTAATTAAATTAAATTTAAAAAGTAAGAAGGTAGAAGTGGCGCTCCGCTTTTGGGTAACAGAGCAACGATTGATCAATTATTTAAGTTGTTGCAAGTGATAGCAGTTTATGTTTAAGTTACTTATTTTTTTATAAGATTTAGATTAATGGGTTAAATTCAAAGGGCAAAGAGCACCATACTGACCTTACGTGAACTTATCACCGAAATAATACTAAATATACATAAAAAAATGTTATTTATACTTATAACATCTATGCAAGATTTATGCATTTTGGTGTACACTTAATAACTTTAAATTATCTTGATTTTCCAATAAATATAATATCGGCAGCATTGTGATTTCAAAATTTATCCAAAAATATATACTCAAATAAGTGAATAAAATGTTATGATTTGGTCACCCCACAATGAGTCGATAGATTAAGTGACAAATGTAAGGGCCCTCACTCCAGCCCTAAACTTTTCTATTATCCCTGCTAATGTGATTCCATTTGTCACTAGATGAGAATTAGTTCTAATAGCCGCTATAACAAACCTACATTACAAAGAACTTTTATTTGATCAAGTCGCTCTCGGTTCTATCTCGGAGGTCTTTAGTTATGGTAAAAAAATATTAAAATAACTATAAATTAACTAGATTTGAATGAATGAACACTTTATTGTACATTTAAAAAAAATATATAACAAAAATAATAAAACAGTTAACCGACGTAAGGCTGTGAACAGTTACATATAGACAGTTAATAAATATTGTCCTGCACAGTCAGAATATAGGTTTTCTATATTCATATACACACAGACACATAGTATACAAACAAAAATACACATATACTAAAATAAAATATGTAATATTAGATAATTTTGTTTAGAAATTCTAAAAATAATAATTTACTTTAATAAATATAAAACGGGAATGCCTACCCATCTCTATTTAATTACTGGCAACCGAAAACAATTTAGGACGGCTATTTAAAAAGCTGCCGTCAAATCCAGTTCCATTTTTGAAACGCTCCAATATGGCTAATGGATTGGATTAATTGGAATGATTTGTACCGACGTGACCTCCGATAAACTTCATTTAGTTTGTTTTGTTAAAATTTGAAAGACGCTAATTTTATACGATCTTAATCGTGACATTGTTTGCTAAGGAAAATACCATGTTTGTGTGCAATATACATTTATATTTCTCAAATAGCTATATCCATATTATTATAAAATATTATGATTTTATGTTAAAACCTCATGATGATCTGAGTGATTCATATCATCAATAATAATCAGTTTAAAAAAAGAGTAGGTACAATAAGTAGGATGAAATGTAAATAAATTCGACCATCTGTAACGACTTAGTTCGATCATCTTGGACGAATCATTCGACCATTTAGGACGAATTAAGTTGTTTAGTCGTTTAAACAACGGATATACTTATTGTCAAGATATTTTTCCTAATTTGTTATTTATTTCTTGTTATATGACTAGATATAAGAAAATGGACTGTTTGATCTATTCTTAGTAATGCAAGTAAGTCTTAAAAAAATAAAAATAAAGAAGAGTCTTCAATTCAGCGCAATGAGTGGAATTATAAATATTCTCATTAATTGAATGTTAATAATTGAACGTTCATCAAGTTCAGCTGTAGAAAAATCCCTCGGGCGCCGGAAATTAAAAAGTGCGCCACTTCCGGCGGAAGCCGGGCCGAGCTTGAGTGCAGTGGAAAAAGTTGAACGGAGCCTGGATTAACTAGCTTTATAGACAAAAGAAATACGGATCACTGGTATAAACGTTTACTTACATAATTTTTCTTTTATACAGAAAAAATTGTGGCCAGTGCACATTTTTTTTGTTTTGGTCATTATGGTAAATCTTCTTTATGCTCTTTTCTCTCTTTATGTATTATTATAAGAACATACTACTTAACTACTTTATGTTGTTTTTTTGTCGAATTTCATGCACTTCATTTCGCTACTGTAAAAAAATGAGATAAAACTGTTAGTAACATTATATTAAAAATACATCTTTTGTAAATATGGAAAAAACGTGCACTAATTTTCCTGTATTTATTTAAGACACAATTGCAGTCGCTGATTACAAATTCGTAGCTTTACATTTATAAGTTATTTAAATTCGGTCCACCATTAAAAATTAAAAAAAAATAATCTAATCCATTAAAAAAAAGTAAATTTGCAACCGATAATCATATGAATGCTTATTGCACTTATACCGAATTATAAACAATAATTTACCGAGTAGTGAACGCAAGGACATAATATGTTTAGTTATGACGTCATTCATTTTTTATTCATTCGTAACCTAGTGTTAAGTATCATTCATTATTCGTTCATTCATAACCTAGTGAGTCAGGACAGAAAGCATCCATACCACAATATAAAAGCAACATGTAGAGAAAAGTAACTATATGTCCTTAATTGGAACACTGAAATTACTTACTAAATATTCTTTATATAAATTTTAACACGCTTTGAATTAAGCCAAGCGAATACGTAAACTCGTTGTGAATTTGCCGACCTTTTTAGTAATCTATCATTAGGAATAATTTAAAATGGAAATTCACTATTCCATTATCAGGAGCTTCATTTCATATTCGGTTACTTTCCTATTACCAGCCGAAAATTTTCAAATACCATGGACATCACTATTCATCTGTCAGTGAGCTGTCGCTGTCGCTTTGACATTGAAGTAAGCTCATATTCACAATAATATAACACTGGATTGTTGCAGAAGTCCTTAGTAATTCTTTAGTGTACTCACATCCCTACCGGATTGCATTGATTCAGTCCATCGTCAGAAACGTGGCGATGAGATTGGCCGCTAATGAGCACGGCCGACGGCGCTGAAAATTGGCCTCTACATTTTTAATACATTCGCTTAAGCCGCTTTTTTATTCACTACCCGCGGCCGCGCTTTAAAAACTCCCTATCTCCCCACCACTCATAAAACGGGAGGGAGGTGATCCCATTCGTTAATAGATTTTAAAAATTAATACATTTACCCAATTATAAGTAGGGGGCGTCATTTAAATAAAATAATTTCTTTAACGATATTACTCGTCCTTTGATCGCTTAAAAAAACATTACGCTTAGGGACTAATCAAAAGTGACATGATACTTATTAAGTTATCCGGAGTAACCGAGTTAAGGCGACCGAACGGCGCGAGTCAAAAACTATTTTATGAATAATAGATGGTGTCGGGGCGGCCAATCCCTGGGGAGCCCCGCCCACGGCCCGCTACCCCAACCCCTCGCACCCCCGCCCATTCTATTCATTACCACATTACCACCCCTTGTGAGAGTCGGGAAAAGAAACTGATTCGCGACGTCCAAGCACTAAACTGACGGATAATTCGTGATGGAATGTGATGCATGGATAAGGAATTTAAGCTTCTAGATATGCCAAATACCTAAATAAATCAAGCACCAACATTATGAGTTTTAGAGACAACCTTTTATATTAGATATTAATCATGTTTATTAAGGTAAGCCAACTGATGACTTCTTTAAATTTATTTATTAATTTTAGAAAACAGCTATTCCAACAAAAACATTAAAAAATATTACAGTTCCATAAATCCGGTCAAAAAGTTGTTCACAATAATTAAAACTATAGTCTAAGTTACTCGCTGATAATGTAATCTTGATTTTACATTGATGAAAAAATGTTTAGAATCCAATAGTTTTTGAATTCATCTATTGACCAAATAAAATATCAAAATTTTCCTTTGAAATATTTAATTAGTATAATTGATAATTTAGAATTTTTTTCAAGATCTAATTTATTCAATAATTCGATTTTATTAATAACAAAAACAAAACTACTGCTCTCAAAAATTTTAAATAAAAAAGTCATAACAATTATCTGTAAAAAATACTATAATCAAAATTATTCGATAATAAAACTTCCCTTCGAAATTCGAGATCAGCCTAAATTGTAACAGAAACGTTAAAGAGATCGATTCTCAAAACTTCACAACTAATTAAAGTATCAAACTTAGTAATTCCACTCCCACAGATTCTAATCGATTAATGAGTGAATTGAATCAAGTTCGCACTGAAAATCGAGTTGAACTTAACGGAAACAAGGCAAGAGGTTTAACTTGATAACAACGTTAAGTGACTCTCCAGCGAGTTAAGAAGTTTGTACAACGATACAGGAACTAATCGGAACACTCTACAAATGGATGAATACTTAATGAATAACAGAGTGCCTAAACCAATATTACTAACATCAAATTGACTGTGACCAATGTATAGAAGTCAAAATAAACTGCAATTTATAACAAGAAAACAGTGATACCAAATTAATCCCCGACCACAGTCGTCTTTCCTCGTTGGCTATAAACAAGGATGTATAATACAGCGTGTTAAAAATCGGATTTCCGATGATTTGCGTTAAATTTCACAGACATTCTTGGAATCTCACATTGGTCAGTATAGAAGAAGATCATCTTCCATTTTAGGAAAATATAAGATAATACTTACTCTAATGTGACGATGTAAAGGGATAGACGAGTATCAGCAGATAATCTTAATATGGAGGCAGAGCGGTGGGCAGCTGTAGCAAAATACCGATGAACACTGATTATAAGCGTGGTATATCATGTACTTGTATAGATGTGACGTTATGAAGGGGTACTCCAGCATCGGCAGATAAAGCAAGTGTGGTGATGGGCATGGTACGTACATATACTGACATTCATGTGATGCTGTGAAGGGGTACTTGACCATCAGCAAACGATGCTGGTACAACGGTACATTCAGCGGTTAACGTTAGCAGCGCACCCTGCAAGTGCCTGCACTCGCTGACTATAAATAAGCATATTAGTAAATATTAACATATATATATACTTACATGGATGTGAAGCTGTGAAGGGGTACTCGAGGGTAGGCAGGCGATGCTGGTGCGGCGGCAGGCTCGGCGGGCAGTGATAGCAGAACAACCCGCGACCACCACCACCGCCGCTCGCCAGCTGTGAACAAAAATAAATAGATGAAAAATATATTTTTTAAATCCTTTATGACTAAAACATAGGTTATAATTTTTTTTTGGGTAATTGGGACTATTTTTTTACACTGTCTAAAGTAATAGATTAGGTTTTGACTTCAGACATTTTCAAAGTCGAGATGCTGACTATTATTCTATAAAAATGTGGATAAACTTTACACCATCGCTTACATAATAGAGACTAGACATCCGGCATATCAAATAGCTTTCTTAATAATTTCACAATCAAAACCGACATTAGAAATCAGTTGTCATTACAAAGATCTAATACTTGCTTATATTAGCATAGAAACGGCGCCGCGTAATGATAAGGCGCAAAGTCCTTGATCTGCGCACGCGCACACGTATATAATGCTAACTCCGCGCCATGCCGCTACGAGGGCTGCTATTGAGTTCTCGAATCGCGCAATCATCGATAATGAGCTTAGTTTTATTGAATATTAAGTACTCGATTTGTGTCAGTGTTGGTATGTTCGCTATTTTATGATTGGCCCAAATTAAAATCATATAAGACAATAGGAACGCCAAGTTTCATGCTAGTGTCGTCACCATGATTTAGAAGACAACTCTTGAAAAGAATAAAACTTACTTAAAAATAATATAACGAAACTATTTTGTGTTAATATTGTAATGTTTATGTTAGAGTTTCATATTACAAAGTTCAATGCACCCATTTTTCTCCATTTATAGTCGAGAGAAGTAATTACTTGAAAAAATGGCATAGCTTAAGCAGATATCTTTAACCAATAGAACAGAATTTGAATGAAGTAAGAACTATTAATAGTAAGAATACTATTATTATTATCTATTAACAGTTCTTATTATTTGTTCAAAATATTTGCTTCAGTAATTAATTACTTTTACTCGACTATAGATACGGATGTAAAAAGTAAGGGAATATTACACAATTATTAAAGCTTGAACTCAAATTATTTTATGGTAACTTTCTAAAGGTTAAAACATAAGATATCTAATCTACGATAAATAAGACAATAAGACCCGACAGTAGTTTTATAGCGGCTTCCCCAGCGATCAGCGCTAAAGGACACGAGGCACATAAATCAATTAATTTCGATGACTAAATTGCCGGACTGCATCATTGCGTTCGTGCGAATGGATCTATGCACTCGCTGAATCTAACTGCCTACCATTAACATACATCTATCTAACAGCCAGGTACACAAATTTCCGTTAAAATTTCATTAGTTTAAAGTGACATTACCGATACAAATTTGACATTCATTAGAGCTTAAAGGCGTCAATAAACTGTAATGGACGTTTGTGCAACTGACCGTATATCTTTCGAAGGAATATTTTATGTAATTTCTAGTATTTCTTGTTAAAATATATAAAAGTTAAGTAAGCAATATACCAAGTACATGGCGCGTTTATGTCCCATTTAATATATTTTAAACTGAATTACCTACAAATCCCGTTTAATGTACCCTCAATAATGAACACCCAGCCACATATACAAATCAATTCTACATAAATGTATATAAATTACCAAGGGAAATGACAATGAATCCAATTGGATGCATCAGATATACCCACGTGTATTTGACTAATAGAGTGACGGAGACACGGATGCGCCCGCGCATACAGTTGTATATCACCAACCGGTTGAATTAAAAATATATTATGTTAAATATTAAGCTATCTCTTAGATGTATCTCTTTTCGTGTTCACAGGTTCAGATTTTCTCAGCTTCCAGATCGTATATGTCTCTTAATTCTTTCATCCAGCATGTTTACCACATGCCCAAACATTGTTTGATTCTATTAACTTTTACACGAACACTATCCTTCAGGTAAACATCACTTTTTATGCAGCCTACAAGCGTCACACCGTTTAACAAACAATAATTTTATTATGAACATCTGACACCGGTATATCAGTAATAAATGTCCATTACGGCAGACAGATTGGCTAGTATTGGCGCGTCCTGTCTGCATGCGTGGGGTCCCTGTCCCGCTAATCCTATTATATTGTGTCATTACCGCATTACAACACCGCCCATCCGCTGCAGCGACCTTGACGCATCACTTTTACGTGGGCCATGAAATATGATACATTTCGATTCAATCGTCCGACCTCATTAAGAATTTCTAAACTGCAAAAAAGAAAAGCATATGCTTTATTCTAAAAGCTTTTTGAATGCACTTTTAAATCGAATAATTATAAGAGATTTGACTAAAATAAAAATAGGAGAAGACTACTTTCGAGACAAATAACCGCCTGGGACCTAAATATTCATACACACAAAAATTAGTGCAACTGTATATCGAGTTATAAGCAGTATATGATTCCAATTTTTTAACTTTACACGAATAATAAAGTAAAAAATAATGTATTCAAACTGTCCTGTCCAAGTACAATTTCTAAGTTGTTCATCTAATTAGCTGTGATTACTTGCTACTTAACTTGTTATGAATTTTCACATATCATTTTATTGCATGAGGGACAGTATTTATGGAAACAACATTTAACTTGACTTGAGCAAAAATGCAGGGATGTATTGAATCAAAAATTGGTCGGGTGTATGTGTACCCAAATATGTTAAAAGGCTATGTATGATTGTAGGTACTATATAATACATTTTACACACAAACAATTAGATTTAAATATACTAACGGAAACATCTATCTATCTCTATGTTCTGTGGGAAACATAAAACATTTTTGAGCAAGTGATGAAATATTATAAAAATGGATACACACAATATTTTAATAGTCCAATTCTTTTTAACCGTCTTCAAAATCAAAAAGGAAGAGGTTATATGTTTGACGGCGATATATGTTTTTTTCTATGAAAGTTTACCGATATTCTCGTCAATTGTAGACCGATTTTCAAAGGTATAAACAAAATACGCTTTTCAACAGATATCACCTAAATATAAGATGATATGTTATGACATGGCCCATTTCAGTTGCAAAAACAAAATATTGCGTATGTAGAATTCATTCAAAATCTGAAAGGAAGATTTTTTATATACAACGAGTACATTTACTTTAATTTTTGATATATATTTACCGGACGACCCTCCCACCAGGTGGACTGAGATCTTATAAAGGTTGCGGGAAGCCGCGGCATGCGGGCAGCGCAGGACCGATTGACATGGAGATCTATGGGGTAGGCTTATGCTTAGCAGTGGGCGTCTTACGGCTAATGATGATATTAATGATGATGTTGATGATGATGATGGTATACGACCTATGTCCACTGCGTATTATGTAGCTTCCCGTAGATGAAAGACTCATAAATCGATCCAATAGTTTCGGGGCCTATCCAATGCAAACAAACAAGCAATCAAATCTTTACTCGTTAAAATATGAAATAATCTATATAAGTGGAAAAAAAATATGTCTGGCATATAAACAATATCTCCTATTCTAAGACTTTCACTATGTTCAATATTTTTATTTTTATTACTATTTAATATTTTTACGGTTACCTATTATAAAAAAATATCAATATCACTAAAAAGCATGAAATAAAAACTTTTTATGAAAAGTAGAACCGACTTCAAACTTTAAAAAAGGCATAAATAATACTTATTCCAGAAAATGCTTTAGAAATTGGGCGCCTATCGTTTAATTAATAACCTACAGAAAACCTCCGCTCGACTTCATATGTATCATTTCACTGCATGGGGGACAGTATTTGTGGAAACAACATTTAGACTAGCATTTTCTTGAATAAGTCGCTTCTGAGATAAGTATTATTTGTCATTATTTTTAAGTTAGAAGTCGTTTTTATTTAGTATTTAAATTCTTAATCTATCTATTCTATATATCGTATATAACATTCTTGGGTTACTAAGTGACTGACTGACTGATAGTCAACGAGTACAGCCGAAACTATTGAGCGTAGAAAGTTGAAATTTGGAATGAAGATTAGTTAGGGACTGTCGAGGAGCACTAAGAGAGGATTTTTGAAAATTCAACCCCGAAGGGGCTAAATTAGGGGATGAGAGTTTATATGAAACACCGTTTCTACAAGTGTTAGGAGTTTCAAATTTTGCATGCAGGTTGTTTTTAGGACGCAGGTACTTATACGAAATTCGAACCCTAAGAGGGTAAATTTAGGGATGATAGTTTTTAGGGAATTAATTCATTCTGGACTTAAAACTAGACCACGCGGGCGAAGTCGCGGGCAAAATCTAGTATATAATGTACATTTTGCCGAAAAAAATGTAAATGTAGAATGGGTTCTTTGCACATTTGCAATAAAGAAGGTCAATATACTAATAGGTATTATCTTTTCAGGGAAAAATTTAGCGTTATTTCTGTGAAATATTCGTATTCCGCAACTACATAAAGCGTAACTATGAAATCTAATCTAAATGTCTGAAAAACGAACCATTTCGATGCGAGTGAAACCGCTACCGACCGCCATAAAAAGACGATAACTAAATGAAAAAAATACATATTATATGAAATAAAATAATTTCTCTCTGGCACCAAATGAAAACTCAAAGGAGACTGCAAATCCCATCAACATGTTTACTCGACAAATACGAAGCTCCGCGTAACGAGAGCAAACACAATTTACTCTGAAATTATATTTGTATCAGTTGAGAATCGAGTCCAATTAATCAGCCTGATAATTCGGAGCAAATCGTGTAATTAGCAGAATCGAATAATCGATTAATGGGTTTTAAATTATTGTTTATATTCATACTGTTATCGTACAGACATTGTTCAGAGCAGTTATTAAATTTATCAATGGGGTATTTAGGTATGTATGAGCATACAAATTCATGGGCGTACCAAGGGTGTTGACCTCTTCCCCCTCCCCCGTTAGAATTTGCATACCTACCTACTATTCGTTTTGATGATCGAAGTTGACTGTCCAGAACTCTGATCTAACCCCCTCTGGTTCCCACCCTGAGTATAATGTTGTAATATTGTAATGGAAAGTGACTTCATATTTTAATTAAGTCATTTTTCAATCTTGACGCTCTGTATGAAATAAAACGGAGAAAAAAGCAGCCCTCGCCGAGTTTCTTGCCGATTCTTCTCGGTACAAGGTCTCGCCGTAGATTTACGAACCGATGACGTAGCTCTCGACTTTCACAAGTGCTTGTAACAGCCTAGACTGAATAAATAATTTTTATTTTTATTTTTGGTAACTCATGTACTAGTTGATTAATTTTAAATGCAATATAAAAATCTGTATAGATTTGTATTATTGCAGATCTGAAAATAACATTTTGTCAGCTACCAACCATTTGAGAGTTGTGTTAATCTCTACATGGATGGTAGCTAATAATATTTCAAAAATTCTTTCAATAAGCTTGTTTGAAGATTATTTTATTATTTTCAATTTATTTTGTTACCGCTAATGTTTTGTTGTTGTTATAATACCTACTCCACAGCATTTTACATTTTTTTTTAAATTTGTTTTATAGTCATCTTTAAAAGCCTAAACATCGGAAGAACTTAGGCTGATAGATCAAATCAGTTCCCACAATCTTCCAACGTGGTCCCTTTTTCCATTTTAAGTGTCGTTCCGAGTGACAACTGCCTCGCCTCCATTGAAGGCCTATTCAAAACACAGAAAGAGATCGATCATTATCTTGCAGCGTAAACAAAACTCTTAAGAGAAATTAAAAAAATAAAATTGAATTAAGAATGCCATTTAATAGTTTTTGTATACTCCAAAGAGAATTTAAGCACTACGTTTTAGTATAGTCGATGATTTAACTGGTTGAATATAATTGTCTTTGTTTTAATTCCTTTATTCAATAATTCCTTTTTTTAATGTCTCTCATAGTGGGATTATCGATTTAATAATCTAAATTTATTCAAGGTAATAAATACCTATTCTTGCCATATTAAAATAATGTCAAATATATTATCTAACGCAATTTATATTTTCCTAAATTATTGTATTGAGATAGATAATTATAATAAAAATTGGATATTATACTAGCAACAAATTGCTAATATAATAAACGAACTACGTATCTTCTTGTTTTGAGTTACGCTAAAAGTTACTTTTTAATTTTATGGAGAAACAAAACAAAATAAATAAATAAAAAATAGCTATCACTAAATAAAATATTTAAGGCCTCATAGGGAAGTTTTTTTTTTCAAGAGCGGTTGTTAACAGGTTGCAAGTAAAAGAATTTTTTTTTGATATGCAATAGATTTCAATTTACATAATATAACGTCTTCCAATCTTTTACTAACAAACAACTTCTCATTTTACTTACTATAATTGTTATAAATGAATGAATTACCGATCGATAACAAAAGTAATTGTGAATCGACCAACTTGTAACACTTTAATCGATTTATTTAAATTAGGACTTTTTAAAAGCCCTCGTCATTTAAACTAACATTGATTGCATCATATCAAAGCAGTCAATGATATCCTATGGAAATTCATTCAACGCAATTGAAACAAATTATTTTACTATACTCGTTCCACTAAACAATTGAATATATTCGATCACGGGGCCACTAGCTGTTATATCTAATAAAATGTTTTAATGCGGGGTGCGACACCTAGCGGTTAATAAAATATTACCTATATTGTGCTGTCTAAAAGAACTTTCCGAAAACTTTACGCTACAATCCGAAAAATATTTTAAGATAGATTTATACCCAGTCACATATGATATGACGTCCATTATGATTTAATGATTTGAGCAACTGGGTTAGTACAGGGAACTACTGGAATATTTATTAATAATTTGTCAGCCAATATAACAGAATAATATCAGCGAATAACACAAGTTATTTTTTTATGAATAACACATAAAAATGCAAAAAACCAAACAGCACATACAGGTTTTCTCTAATTATCGTATGAAACAGTGGTTAGACCAAGTGCATAGAACCTGGTAAAGTTTATATCGATATAAATCGCTACTCTTTACTCATGACCCCACCCTAACAGATTGCAATCAAGATGAATTGAACAGTATAAATTAACTATTAATAACAAGCAACGATTCAATCGCGCCGCGACAATCGGATCGATACAAAAGCATTGAAGCAATCTCTCATATTATTCGTCGTTTCGTTTTTATTAAAACTTCATAAGAATTTTATTAGTTTTTTTCAATATAATAACGTACAAATATTACAATACTAATGTAGGTAGATTTTTTTCAATTAACACTGATGACTTAATTTTTTAATCAATAATTAGATTTAAAAATGTTATTAGTTTTTATATATTTTTATTGCCAAGCTATTTTCCCGCGCCCGCGTAAATTATAGCGTATGTTACGGGTAATAATGTAGTTACACGTAGGTAAAATATTTTTTAAAACCAATTAAATCTCAAACCAATGCAAAAAAAAACAAATATAAACATTTGCTCTTTATAAAATTAGAAAAGAATAAGATAGATAATAAAAATTACTAGAATAATAGGTTTAGCGGACAATAACAGCTGTACATATTACTAAATACATTAGACTCAATATTCTATTATTTCTATACTTCATCATACCACTTTGACTCTAGTCGGGCGCTTGTCAGTCATAGTTTAACGATTTTACGACCTCTGTTGAGCTAACGTGACGATACTGGTCTATATGAAGAATTTGTATCACTAACATCAATAAAAATCAACAGATGTGATATCAAACTTGTATGATAATATAAGATGATACTAGATTCCAAACCACGATTTTTTCTACGTCGATTTAGTTTATTATTTCCGGAGATTTATCTGTATAATCTTGACATTATTCTAGGACCAGTATTTAAAGTTAATTAATTCTAGAAAAATGCTTATAAAAAGTGCAGCCCAGACAACAACTCAACATACCATCCGCAAAATGGAGGATATGTTTTTACTGAGCTTATCAAAAGTTTTTTAAACTGCACAATCAACTGAAAGGTTACACTACTGCGCTCTGAGGCTCTTTCTTTTCTAATTCTGCTCTTTTACAAGTATAGACAAACGATAAAGCAGAATTCAAATTTAAATTCTATTTAGTTTAACTTAAGTAAGTTACTCCAAAACGTGTATGCCGAACAGAAAGTTGTTTTAACTGAATCAATGAGTGTACATACGTTCAACATTGGCTTCATCGAGCAATACTTGCTTTGAATTTGGTTAGTATAAGCTGACGTGATACTTGGGAAACTGTAATGGATGGTCGAGATCATTACTAAGTTATCTAGAGTTATTTACCTTTAATTAACTACAGTTATTCATCATTTCTGAGTCATTAAAAATGATAGAGTAAGTTTTAACTCCTTCAAATAATATTTTATTAATAATTTAATAATAAATGTTTTCAGAAAAAAAAGTAAGTTTGAGAACTAATAGGTTGTTAGGAAAACATTTTCGTTTTGCTGTCAAAAGCCACATTAATAGGTGTCAAAATTGTGGCTGATGCGGGTGTTTACTGTAACAGCGGATACTGATGTTGATGCTCATATTAATAAATTACTCGTACTTACATAAATAATATCATACTGCAAAATTATTATAAAATGTGGTATGCCATTTTGAATAAATCACAAGTCATATAAATTTATTATAAAGACGAAATATTTAATGATAATAATAAAATAAAATAATAAATCTTTATTTCAGACCCGATGATCCATATTAAATTACAAATTACAGAAATATGATTCCAGATAAAAAAATTATATTGTATAATATGGCTTTATATTACATAGATTCAGGTGGCAATAGCCAACCATCGTCTATACCCTTTCGACTAGACCCTTTACCACAGCATTATCAGATCTGTCGACCCTGAACATGAAGGATGCTATTCTCTTACGCTGAATAGCACTAAACTAATCGATACGACTTTCTGTGAACATTTCTGTTATTATAGGTTACTCGTGGGCCATTATGTGCTTTTTCCGTGTATTCAGTTCAGAGTTGACACATATAAAGCGTTAATTTCACATCACTAGAAACATTACAATACTTTCGGGAAATCATATTACCCACAACACAAAGAGCTCTACGTTGCCGTTCAGTGTCGGCATCATCTATTAAGCAATCAACTATATTTGATTGTTTGTTTGCTTGCATTGCATAGACTCCGAAACTACTTGATCGAATTTAAAAAGCCTTTCACTTACAGAAAGCTACAACATAATGGGTAAATAAGCTATATTTGTATTCTTCACACTTATAAATAAATTTGGAAATGGTTACTTATTGTACCTAAACAATATTTACATAGTATTTTTTGTTTTAAAGTGAATTTTAAGAGTATTTTATTTGTGCAAAATATGTGAATTACAAGAACCGAAACACTGTTGCTATGACGGAGCATCATATGACGTCAATTTCAGTTTTCAATTTATTCATTTAAAGAACTTTAATACAAAATCATTAATATTGATATCCATTTATCAATTTAATATATA